AAAAGCTAATCATAGCCGACCAGCTCTCCCGTCAGTACTACTGGCCAATGTATGCTCTCTGGATAATAAAATGGATCACCTCAGACTCCGAATGACCACCCAGTCTGAAACAAAGAACTGCTGTGTGTTTATCTTTACGGAAACATGGCTGCAGAGCAACATCCCTGACACAGCCATCCAGCTACAGGGGCTAACATCATTCCGTGCGGATAGGATCACTGAGACCTCTGGTAAGAGCAGAGGTGGCGGACTCTGTGTTTATATAAACAATGACTGGTGTGTTAATACCTCGGCAATCGCTACCCACTGCTCGCCACAGATAGAGTTTTTGGTGGTGAAATGCCGGCCGTTTTATCTACCGCAGGAATTTAAAGCTATTATCATAATAGCAGTGTACATCCCTCCCAGTGCTAATGAGGCGATGCGCGAGCTTCACGACGCCATCAGTGAGCAACAAACGGCCCACCCAGATGGCTTTTTCATTATTGCCGGGGATTTCAACCATGCAAACTTGAAAACTGTTGCACCAAAGTTTCACCAGCATGTCAACTTTGCCACAAGAGGAGACAATATGCTGGATTTATTTTACACAAATGTCCGTGACTCACACAAAGCCATCCCCCGCCCCCACCTGGGACTATCAGACCAGCTCTGCGTGCTGCTCTTCCCAGCATACAGGCCACTGCTGAAACGCACCAGGCCAGTAAGCAGGACCATCAAAGTCTGGAGAGAAGAAGCCACTTCAGCCTTACAAGACTGCTTTGAGAGCACGGACTGGAACATGTTCAAGGAAGCTGCCACCTATGACCAGCATGTCTGTTTGGAAGAATATACAAACTCTGTGACTGGGTACATAGAGAAGTGCATTGAGGATGTCACTGTTGAAAAATCCATAATTATGCGTGCCAACCAGAAGCCGTGGCTAACAGCTGAGGTCCATGCCCTGCTCAGACAGAGGGATGCTGCCTTCAAACTGGGGGAGGAAGGGCCTCTCAGGTCAGCAAGAGCTCAGCTTTCCAAGGCCATCAGGAAAGCAAAATGCCAGTATGCACAGAAAATTAACAACCACTTCTGTGATACTAAGGATGCCAGATGCATGTGGCAGGGCATCCAGGCCCTAACAGATTACAAAATCACACCACATGCCAACAACAGTGACACCCACCTCCCTGGCTTGTTGAATGATTTCTATGCATGGTTTGAAGCTCTGAATGACATACAGGCACTTAAATCCATGCCCACTCCTGAGGAGCAGGTGCTCTGTCTGGCTTCAGCTGATGTAAGGAGGATGTTATCCAGAGTCAATCCACGGAAAGCTGCAGGCCCAGACAACATTCCAGGAAGAGTGCTCAGGGACTGTGCTGACCAGCTGGCAGATGTCTTCACTGACATCTTCAACATCTCCCTGAGCCAGGCTGTGGTCCCTGCATGCTTCAAAAAGATCACCATCATCCTGGTGCCTAAGTCAACGGTGACAAGTCTCAATGATTATCGCCCTGTAGCACTGACTCCCATCACAATGAAGTGCTTTGAACGACTGGTCAAAAAACACATCCACTCCACTTTGCCCTCTTCACTAGACCCTCTACAATTTGCATACCACCCCAACCGCTCTACAGATGATGCTATCTCCTACACACTTGTAATGTCTGATTACTTTTCTTAGGGAATTAATTATTATTAATTAATTCAGGTTTTGAGAGGACTCGAATCCGAAGATTCGAAGTCAACCTGATTAGAACTGATTTCAAATTT